GGGGGCTGAGGGGGGGGGGGGGTCGCGATGCACTTAAAAGTCGGAACGCGCAGCTCCAGGGCAAACAGCATCCATTGTGTGGTTAGAGCTTTCGTTGCTTGTGTATGGGCAGTAAACTGGCAAGTAACTACTCATTTACATATGAGTGTGCATTGCGCAGTCGCACCGCACCGGTGCTGCAATGCGGCCAATGTTCCCCCCTCTATTGTTCTTTTATCACCAACATATTGATTTTCAAGGTTGTTTTGAACTTTTTCGTCTCCCTCACCCGAGATACGAAACCTTGTTCCACTTCTCTCCTACACCACGACAACCCGACAGCCAGGTTCACGTTCACAATGGGCGGCACGGCAGGGACCGAGTTCCTGGGCTCAATGCAAAATGTGTTTGAGGAGGCTCAGGGACAGGGCTTCACTGCGCTAACGGATTTCCGCAAGTTGACAGGCAGCATACTCAAGTTTCTCCGGGCCTGCAGAAAGATGACGGGTGCCAGAGCCCGTGCCAGCTGTCCGATTCGCTTGCCAGATGGTCGCAATGTCAGAACGCACGTGGCATTGCCTCCGACAGGCCTGAATCTCAACAGAGAAACGAACAGGAGATTGCGGGAGGCACACTCCTCCAACGAGTTTTGCGGTATTTTGCTCTCACAAGTACACGAACAACTACATGCCAAACGATCAGATTCGGGCAAGGGAGGAAAGAACATGACAACGTCTGCCGCTTCTCGGAGGCCAATTTCGAAAAAGAAGAGAACATTGACGCGTTCACCGGAGCCAACACCGAATCCGCCATCAGCAAAGAAGGCACGCCGGCGTCGCAAAACAGTTCAGACACCGCCAGGATCTGGAAATGATGACCACAAGACTAGAGTGAGCGGCCCGACGGCGGGTGAAAGCGATGGAGATGTTTTGTCAACGACGCTGGCATCTGCAACTGACAGAGTGAAAGAGGCTGGCTCCAAACAAAGACCTGGGGCCGTTGTGACCAAGGCGCAAACGGGTGAGAAAGCGGAAAGGGCGACACATTCGCAGCCCACAAAGTCGCCGACAAAAACACCACGTCCCGCCAAATCCTGCGATGGCCTAGCAAACGCCGAAATGGTTGCCGCAGGGAACTACGGCCCTTTGACACCAGTCAAGCGGCTCAGAATTGTTATCCCGAAGAGAAAACGGGAGCTTGAGCAGCAGCAGCAACAGGCAGTTCCACCTGCAGTCACCTCACAAGACGATGACTCGTACTCCGATACCTCGAGTGACGAGAGGGGAACAATGTCAGATATTTCTGAAATATCGGACTGCGCGTTTCTAATGGACATGGACCCTTCCGAGGACCTGGCCCAAGAGAAGACAAAAGAGAGAAGCCTTCGAGTGGCAAAAAAGGTGAGCTACCTCAACTACAAGAGCCAAAGCCTCCAAGTAGTATGACTAACCAGACGCGGGACCAGAGTACACAACAAACACGCGAGAAGCCTGTCCAGTCGGCAAGGGCGACTCAACTATTGAGAATGGTGCCGCATCTAAGCGACGGAATCTCATCCGTCGCGCCGAAAAATTGGCGCAAATATCTCCGCAGGATTCAGAGTTATGCGAACTCGGAGGGAATCCGAGGGGCAGATTTCAAGCAGCGACTCATGAGGCTTGTCGACATGGTATACTTGCCAGAGGAGCTGGATGCTATTGCGGCAAAAGAATAGGATAGGCTTTTACGCATTGCGGAGCTCTGCTCGGTCATTGCAGAGACTCTGGGCCCGGAAGACGAGGTTGTGGACTACGAGACGCGCAATCACTGGATCAAGGCGAAGAATGAGGATATCAAAAGCCTGAAGAAGTTGTTCGAGGGTACAAACCTTCAACCCCCAACTGGGTATATGAGCGATGTCTAGCTGGGGAGTGTTTCTTTTTTTTTATCAGTCGATTATGTTTGATTTGTAGAGCATGGTCGGCAGGGTGGGAAAATTATGTCGCTGAGCATCTGGCTCGCTTTACAAGGTTTCCCAGTTGAGTTGAGGCACATTGGAACGACAGGAACAGTAGCTAGATGAATGATGAACCGGGGCGAGACAAGCAAGGATTCAGCCGCGCGAGTAGCCAAGAAATAGCACAATCACAAAGAACGCAGCTGTCGATTGGACTTGATGTGGAAGCACATGACATGTAGCTGCCTGCAGACCCAAGCCGTAGCCGAAGACGCAAAAACTCATCATTACATAGACGGTCTTGCTTGGCGCCGGATATCAGGCCAACCAGGCCGCATGTTTTGCTCGCAAAAGGACACGCAAGGTTGGCACGGATATCTCTTCATCGTCTCAACAGGAAGTAATACCTCGGGCGCCGCTGGAAAACTCGCAACCCGACCAATAAACTCCCGCACCAGCAAGACCTTCCTTTTCCAGTCTCAGCAAGGCAACCCATCTCTGATGCTCAACCCGCCCACAAATCACACCATGAACGAAATCTGGGACATGCTGAGGGACGGCGGCGTCTTCATCAGCGAGACGGCGTGCGTGGGGGACGTGAATCCGCTGATGAGGTGGGTGGTGCTGCCGGCGATGCAGGCCGTGGGCAGGGCGCCGCGCGTGAATAAGTTCACGGGGGGGCCGAGTTGAAGAGGAGCATTCAGGAGGCGGGCCTTGATATTCTAGCCGACGAGGTGCATTCTTCGAAGGGGGATGACGGGAGGCCGTTTATCGTGGCGAGGAGGAAGTGATGCCTTTTTTTTTTGGTCTGTTGTGGGCATGATGCTCTCTGTTTAACCATTGGTTACATGACGAACGTGATTGTGCGAGTCAATACCTGCCCTATATTATAATATACAATGGCTAATTCATTCTGTGTCAACGTACTCCATCAATCTGAAAGGACATGTACCAACGTCGTCCCATATCCGGTCAAGTACCAAATTACTGCCTGAATTTTTTTTTAAACATCCTTTTCAACACCAACCAGCTTGGCGCTCAGCTCCCAGAGCCTATCCTCCGCTTGGACATCATACGCGTGAGGAGCCGCGCCGGGATCCAGAACTGACGGGTTGCCCTCCACATTGCCCGCAACACCACAGTTCGCAAGGTACTTTCCGCCCTTGCCCTCCCAGACCGGTGCCACGGCGGCCCAGACAGAAGTGGCAGCGCCCTGCGGAGAGCTCAACATCTGCGTGCCCACGCTCTCGTCGCTCTTCCACGATTCCTGCTGCTCGGCGGGCGTGTAGGCCTGCAGACCAGTCCAGATGCCGCCGGGGTGCAGGGAGAGGGCGTGGACGCCGCGGGACCCAAGCGCGCGGTCAATGTAGCTGGCGGTCCAGATATTGGCCGTCTTGGACTGTCCGTAGCCAAGCCAGGGGTCGTAGGAGTCGGGCTGGTCGAAGTTGTAGTTGTCAAAGTTGACGGGGGACATGCGGTGTCCGGAGGAGGAGACGTTGACGATGCGCGAGTTGAAGGCGGGCGTCGAGCTGGAGATGAGCGTGGGGAGGAGGAGGCGGGTGAAGAGGTAGTGCGCGAGGTGGTTGACCGCGAACTGGCGCTCGAACCCGTCCTTGGTCTTGGTGTATGGGCATGCCATGATTCCTGGGCCTCTTGTCAGTGGTTCTGATGGATCTTGTGCCAAATGTCAAGGCGGGTGGGGAAACGCACCGGCATTGTTGATGAGGACATTCAGCTTGTTGCTCCTGCCGAGAAAGTCCTTGGCGGCTTTGCGGACGGAATCAAGGGAGTCCAGGTCCATCTCGACGGCTTCCAGCTTGCCTTTGCCCGAGGAGGTCTTGAGGACGTCCTCCTTTGTGGCAGCGGCCTTTTCGAGGCTCCGGGCCGTGAAGTAGACGTCTGCGCCGGTGCTGTGCATGGCCCGGACCGTCTCTACGCCAATGCCGGCCGTGCCGCCGGTGATGAGGACCACTCTGCCGGCCCATGTGCCCTTTGCACCGCTGTCCTCGACGACCTTGAGCGCGGTAGGGCGCTGGTCTCCCGGGCCGGATGGGTTGACGTAGAGGTCAGCGTAGGGGTTGAATGCGTCTGACATCTTGAGATTCTGGTGGGTTTTGCAGAAAAAGAAAAGCGTAAAGTTTGAGCCTGGTGGGCGATGGCTTGTAAGTGGGCTGGGTGCTGTTTGTCGCTGCGATCGAGGCTTGAGCGATGATGAGTTGTTTTCTCCCACTCACTTGGCAAACAGGTCGACCATGGCGCATATTTATATCTGTGTGCATAGTGGCAACAAGCCTGGGGGTTCTGCGTGTCTCATTGTTTAGAGTTTCTAAACTCCAAAGTGCAACTCTCTCCGGCACGGCGGACTTAACGCGGCGGAGCGGACATGTCCGCCTCGCACCCGTTCGAGGCCGCTCGAGGCCGCAGTCCGTCCCCGCCTGTGGGGCGGTGGGGCCCGCCTCCGTCGACGTCAACAGCAGCTGCTGAGTTGCAGCACTTCCCACGTCCTGATGGAATCCTGGATATCGGTAGACAAAGTCCTTTGAATCCCCCCATCCCTCCCACCTCTTCCCCTTTTCCCCCCTTTCAGACGAAGCCACGGCGTTGCGTCATGTCCGCCCGCTACGCGATACAGGCCTGTCGAGCCTGTCGGTATGTTTGTCCCACCCGACATGATGCGCTGGCTAATCTCCGAGTGCGACAGACGTTTGAAACGCAAGTGCTCTAGGGACATTCCATCATGTTCACTTGTAAGACGGCCCTCTCTGCTGAGTCTTCTTGCATGCCACTAATCCGGGCTTGAGTGTGTTCGGCTCAGCAAAAGATGCGAGTACCGCCCCGGTGATACTGGTACAGAGCCCGCGCCCGACACCGATCTCGCCTCAAGATTGCACGACTTGGAACAGCTCCTCCAAGGGAAAGGGCCCGGCGACCTGATGTCCCTGCCTTCTGATACAAAGGTCAACTCGTCATTCCCTGCAGCATTCTTCCTCGACCCAGATCACTATTCCAAATTTGGCCAATATGACCTCTCTTCTGAGCAATTGCCCTGGGTGGAAAAGGCCCACGTGCTCGTCCAGGATGACTGGCGACAGGTGTGCGAGCGCTTCCTTTCCACAATCTATACCTGGTTGCCGATGATTAGCAAGAAGCGCCTCTATTCCGAGTTGACGTCTTCTAATCCTGACACCAAGGCCGGCAATGCGCTGTTCCTGCTAAGCATGAAACTGTGCACCGGCAAGCCCCTCCAGTCTGCTGATGATTCCTCGTGTGCAGATAATGAGCTGTACAGTGCTGCGAGGCAATGCCTCTTCTGCGCAGAGTCGGGGGGATACGTGTCGTTGCGGTTGGTCCAGTCCCTCGTTCTCTTGGCGGTTTATGAAATGGGCCATGCCATCTATCCGGCGGCGTACTTGACGGTTGGCAGGGCGGCGAGGCTGGCCATGGTTATTGGGCTGCATAATACGAAGCTCGCAACGCAGCTGTTCGTCTTGCCGGACATGTGGAGTTTGAGGGAAGAACAGGGAAGGACGTGGTGGGCGATTTTCGTTCTCGACAAGTACGAAGTCTTGCCCCCAACCCTGTCACCATATGTGTAAGAGAACAGACATCTGGACATCTGGTATGCTGACGACGAATCTTTTAGGCTTGTCAGTCTTGGATCGCCCGGCTTGCCGTTCGCAACGCCCGACCCATCTGTCGACCACCTCCTGCCTTCCAACGACCGAGACTGGAACAACGGCGTGATCAGCATAAACGAACCTGTACTCGCACAGTCGTTCCACGCTGCCAATTCCATCGGAAGGTTTGCAAGGACATGCCAGGCAGCTCATGTGCTGGGCAAGACCATGGTCCACATCAATCGCTGCAAGATGGCCATCACTGACGTTACAGAAGTTCTTTCGGAGGCGTTGCATCTTCACAAAGCGCTTGTGGCGTTGGACACCAGTCTCGGCGGCCCGTCCGACTCTTTTCAAGGAGAGGGGTATCCCAGTCCCGATTCTTCTGACGTGGAGGACATGAATTACACTGCCTTGTCGATATGCTGCTCGGCCCGGTACTTGCTCTACACACAGTACGCATGTAACGAGAGCAACAGGTCCGCTGGCCAAGAGCGCATAGCACTAGAGGCGGAAGCGCAGCAGCTGTCTATACAAGGCATGGAGCATCTCAGCGGTGTTTTGGTGCCACGGATAGCACGGCACATGGAGCACATGGTTGCTTCGCCGGCAGTGAGGCCGAGTGTGAGTTTTGTACCCGGGCACAGCATGTATTATTCTGCCATTGAGTGTGCGTGCTTTTACAAGGAGTTTGATAATCGGACCATGCTGGATGGCATCAAGCAGATTGTCCAAGGGTTCAGAGCGTTGCAGACGGAGTGGAGGGTTGGAGGTACGTTTCCTTGCTCCATGATACTTTTGGGTATGTAATTGCTGACTTGAGAGTAGCGGAATATTTGGCCCTCTTGGACAAGGAGCATGTGCTCGAGTTGCTTGAGTCAGAATGCCAAGATACGCAGCGGGGGACGTGCATCAATGTGCAGAGTAGGCGATTTGGCAATGGTTGCGTAAAGGCGTGAGATATACTGTGGTGTTGTGGTTACTTCTGGTTGGGGTTGTACTCTCCGTGCCATATTGCACGTGACATGTACTCCGACACGATCGGAAAATGCTAACTCGAGGCGGGTAGAGATGTTGCGTCAATTGATGGCGCAAGACGAGGTTTGACTTTTTGCCGAAACGGGACGAGGGGCTAGAGCACTCGAGTTGACCGTATGACCCCGCTTCTCGCTGCTCCACTTGGTGATGTTTGATGATGCTTTGGGCCGTGTGGGCTCGCTAACCAGCACATGTCTGGTGCAGCTTGACCAGCCACCTGGAGCAGCCAGCGTGAGCCCAGGCACCCTGCAGGCGGGCAAGGACCAGTTGGCAAGTGCTGCCTGACGCCTTCCACTTGACTTTCCCGCCATCGCCATCGCCATCGCCATCACCTGCCTACTCCATCTTTTATCTCCGTCTCCGTCTGCCCTCGACAGCCATCATCCGCACACACATCGTCGCAATCCGCATCCGCCTGTGCACCTCTGTCTGGCCTCAGACTGCGCTGTCGCCGTTTTGCCCCCCTTTCGCCCTGCGCAGCTGAGAGCCACGCCGCTGCTTGACTGTCGAAATTTGCGCCTGCGGGCTGCCTGATGAACCGTTGATCCCGCAGTGCTTGGTGCCGCCGCAGGCACTCTGCAGACCACTCAATTCCCAACGAGCGCACGCACGCCGCCGACGACAACAACAACAACACCACCACTTGCATACTATCAGCCTGCTGCCGAGTCCTCGACCTGGCTCTGCACGGACTCCTAGACAGCTTTGTGTCTGCAACGCATAGCCGACTTGGCTGCAAACGCCGAGCAGGTTCGGTTCCCGCTGTTTGCATCCGAGGCCTCGAGGCATTAGCCGCGCCGCGTGCTGACAGCGGCAGTATCGCTGCCCCTACGGCCAAACCATTCATAATCGCATCAGCAACTCCATCCGCCCTTTCATTAACCTGTCGCTGCGACGGCGACTCCATCACGCAATGGCGTCCGACTTCCCCTACGTCAAAAAGATGACTCCCAAGGAGGGCTACGTCTTCCCTTCCCACCGGCTACAGCGCACATGCGACGCCGGTCGAGTGCCCCTCGTCCTGGTAGCTTGCGGGTCCTGTGAGTACCACCACAATGCTCATCATGTGCGGGCAAATATGAGGAACGAGGGGGAAAAAAAAGAGAGAGAAATACCAAACTGACAATTCAATCCCCCCTCCCAGTTTCTCCAATTACCTTTCTACATTTGCGCATGTTTCCCATGGCGCGGGACCATGCACGCAATGAGGGTGAGCAGGCACTCGGCATTTTCTTCTATCTCTGCAATGACGTCGACGGGCATACGGACAGCACGGTATTGACATGGCTAATTCATGCGGCATGACAGGATTCGAAGTTATTGGAGGCTACCTCTCCCCCGTGTCCGACGCCTATAAGAAGAAGGGTCTAGCACCCGCACATCACCGAATTCGAATGTGCGAAATCGCCGCCGAAAATACCTCCAAATGGCTCATGGTTGATCCCTGGGAGGCCGTGAGTCCGACTTATATTCCCACTGCCCGCGTCTTGGATCATTTCGACTACGAGATCAATCATGTCATGGGAGGCGTTGAGTGCTCTGACGGCACTCGTAAGCCAGCCAAAATCGTCTTGCTGGCCGGCGCCGATTTAATCCAGACCATTAGCACCCCGGACATCTGGGATGCCCAGGATGTGGACCATATTCTGGGTAACTTTGGCGTCTTTGTCCTGGAACGAACAGGGACCGAACTTGACTCGGCTCTGGCGGCTCTGAAGCCTTGGGAGAAGAATATCCACGTCATTCGACAGGTAAATTTTGACTCCGCCATGACGGTTGCGCTGGTGCTGACAGAATGCCTGTAGGTTGTGACAAACGACATTTCAAGTACAAAAGTCCGACTTTTACTGAAGCGAGATATGAGTATCGATTATTTGTATGTGGGCTCTACCGGACCCGTCTCACCTTGTATTTCCGGCCGCCGTTGAGGTTACTGACCTGGTACAGAATTCCGGACAATGTCATTAATTATATTTACGAACATAATCTGTATCGCGAGCTGGACCTTGCCGCTGGCAGCAAGGGGAAGGAGAAGGCAGATGTGAGTGCCGGACCTAGCTCTAGCTGACGGACTGCGGCGACGGTCGGGACGGCTTGCGTACTAGACGGAAGGCCTTGATCGTCGAATTACTGTCTGCTAAGTTGATGATTGATGGAGGGTTTCTGTTTGTTTGGTCTTGCACATTTGTCTAGGGGCGTTTTGTCTTGAATCCTACTTTGCGTGGTGTGCCCAGTCAGTTACGAACTGAGGCGGATATTGGGAGGAGTCGTTTTTTCTCTCCTTGTTTTGTTGTTGTGCCGTGAGCGACTGCGAGCTCAGCGAGAAAGCGTCAGCATATGACATGAATGAAGGGAGAATAAAATGCAGCGCCGTGCAAGTGGCCTGCTGGGATCATTTTGGCCCAATACAACGGTGGGAAATGATGGGGAACGGGAGAAATTCAGAGAGCCGTGCAAGCAAAGCATGTAGGAGCGTGCCGTGGCCAGTGATGTCCTTGGCGACGGGTGGCGGATCCTGCTTTGGGTGTTTTCTGTATACACAAGCATTACAAGGAATAGAGTCTCGGGGCCGTGAGCTAGTATATCGCACTGAGCCCATTGCGCCGAGCTGAATCAGCTTCCTCGGTACCGAAGACAAACAACATGGCATCAATGATGGAATAAAAAAAAAACAGCCGGCGCATGTCTTGCCCGGTTTGACGCAGCACGTAATAACGTAATACACGGATCGCACACAAAAGTCCAGCTTGGCGACGGGCAGTCGGTGAGCAAAAGAGGCTTCCTCCAGGGACCACGGTTGGCGGTTGTTTTAGTTTTTCGATAGTTTGTCTCTTGCTTGTGCATGGGAGCAAAGAAGCCATGAGAGCATTTGAACATGGAAGCCACACCCGGCGGGCGCCCAAGCACAAAGGTCAACGTGCCTGGATGGCTGCCGTCTACAGGGCCACCGCGGGGAGCCACTGGGCTTGGGGCTTTTTGCCTCCCCACACCATTGAATTCAATCTTGAACCAAACAGGAGCGCCGCCTGGGACCTTGTCCAGCTTGGAGCGTTCGCCAAGACCTGCGGCCTCTGACATCAGTCGTCAGCTACCACCGAGACAACGGCATGTAGCCGTCCAACGTCTCGTGCGGACATGGGGCCATTGGGCACAGGAGAAGAGCAGAAGCTGGAGAGCACCATGCATACATACATGGTCGCTAGTGTGGTCCTTGGCCGCCGTGGTCCAAGTACCGGGCTGGGAAGGGCAGATAAAAGGGACGCGGGACCCTGATCCTTCTTCTTCCTGTCTAAGCCCGAATCACCTTGTCTCATGCTCCTGTAGGCGGGACAATGAAGTCGTTTACTTGTGTCGCGGCCGTCCTCGGCGCCGCAAGTGCCGTCGCGGCCGTCACCATAGCCGAAATCAACGGCAACCGGTTCCTGTCGCCGTTCAAGGACAAGAACGTCACGGGGGTGACGGGCCTGGTGACGGCTGTTGCGTCCAACGGCATCTACTTGCGCTCGACGGAGCCGGATGGCGACCCGGCCACGTCCGAGGGCTTGTTCGTCTTTGGCAGCGCCGTTGGGAAGCAGGTCCGGACGGGGGATGTCATTACCCTCAACGGACTGGTCCAGGAGTATCGGTATGGCTTCGTTTCGTTTCGTCTTCTTCATCTTCTCATCTTCCCTAAAAATAAAACCGACATGGAAACGCGCAACTGACTTCCTCTGCAGCTCCAACAACAACTACATCTACCTCACAGAACTTACCAAGCCTGCCAACGTCGTTGTCATCTCATCCGGCAACCAGGTCAAGCCGCTCGTTGTCGGCGTCGACACCCTGCAGCCTCCCAACAAGGAGTATTCTAGTCTTGACAAGGGCGGCGTCTTTGGCGTCCCTAATGCCGTCACTACCATCACCACCTCCAACCCCGTGCTGGACCCTACGGCCTATGGCTTGGACTTTTGGGAGAGTCTGGTCGGCGAGCTGGTCACCATCAAGAACGCCCATCTTGTCAGTCGGCCGAACCAGTATGGCGACGTGTGGGTGAGAGGGAACTGGACTGTGACGGGAATCAACGGCCACGGCGGCCTGACTATGCTCGACCGAGGTGAGTCCTTTTATTCTTCACCTTGGTGCGCTCCTCCTCGCGTGAAAAAAACCACGACAACAGCAATGGGACGTGGCGCTGAAACAACCATGTAGATGCCAACCCGGAAGCCATCGTCGTTGGAACCCCCCTCGACGGCTCCAAGAACCCGACCGACACCAAGATGGGCGACTACATAGGCGACGTCACGGGCGTCGTCTACAACGCCTTCGGCACATACCGCGTGCTCCCGCTGACCGCCGTCGAAACCATCACGCCCTCGTCGCCAGACTACCCTGCCACGTCGCTCACCAGCAGCGCCCACTGCAGCGGCCTCACCGTCGCCGACTACAACGCCGAGAACCTGGCGCCCAACTCGACGCACCTCCCCAGCGTCGTCTCCCAGATCGTCACCAAGCTGCGCACCCCGGACCTCATCTTCCTCCAGGAGGTCCAGGACAACTCGGGCCCCGTCGACGACGGCGTCACCTCGGCCAACCTCACCCTGTCGACCCTGACGCAGGGCATCGAGAAGACCTCGGGCGTCAGGTACGACTTCGTCGAGGTAGCCCCCGTGGACGGCCAAGATGGCGGCCAGCCGGGCGGCAACATTCGCTGCGCCTACCTGTACCGCCCAGACACCGTCGAGCTGTACAAGCCCAACCCCGGAGGCAGCAACGACGAGAATGCCGTAGTCGACGGCCCGTCCATCAAGTACAACCCCGGCCGCATCGGACAGTCCGACGCCAACTTCGAGGCCACCCGGAAGCCGCTCGTGGCCATGTGGAAGCCCGTCAAGCGTCCCGACAAGGTCTTCTTCACCATCAACGTCCACTTCAGCAGCAAGGGCGGCTCGACCGGCTTGCATGGTGACCCGCGTCCCCCCGTCAATAAGGGCGTGGAGAAGAGAACCGGACAAATGGAACTAACTGCCGTGAGTCTTTACCATACATATATATGCTCATGTACTTGCCCTTTTTGGGGTTTCCCTTGGGCATGGACTGATGGCCTCACGCTCTTTTTCTTAGAACTTCATCGCCCAGATCCTCGCCCGAGACCCCAAGGCTCGCATCATCACCGCTGGCGACTTCAACGAGTTTACGCAAGTCCAGCCCGTTGCGACGTTTGCCTCCAAGTCCGGCCTGCTTGACGCCGATGAGGCCGCTGGTCTTGCCGAGGTCGAGCGCTACACGTACCTGTTTGACCAGAACAGCGAGGCCCTGGACCACATGTACATCAGCAAGGGGCTGGCCAGGCATGCCCAGGTCGAGCACCTGCACCTGAACACTTGGCAGAACTATGATGGCCAGACGAGTGACCACGACCCGAGCGTGGCCAAGTTGAACTTTTGCGCGTGATGGATGCTCGAGCTGCAGCTGTCGGTGTCCATGTAGATTAGCCTCGTGAGGTCTGGAGGCAACCCTGAAGCTTTTATGTCATGGCGCGGAGGGTGATGGGATATCATGAAAATAGGCAAGAGTCGGGTAGTATTCCCCGGTCTCTGCCCTCTTCTGCGCAGGGCTTATAAACGAAGAGCAATAAATTACTCAGTAGCAGCGACCAATACTTATTCAGCCCTCCAGTTCCTGGGCTTCCCTGGTGATTGACGCTTTTTATGCATGGACGCTCACAGCTCACGGGCTAAGCATATTCACATGGCCGTATCCGGTTGAAATGCCCAATGAATTCCCGCAGCTGCTTCGGTTGCCTCCTTTCGCACTGGTCAAACTGTACATGCGTATCTTCCCTCGGTGCTGCGTGCCCTCGCATGGGTTTTGGCGGGTGGGATTTCTCATTGATGCCGAACACAGCATGAGAAGCATTGATCCAACTATTTGCCCTCTTGCAGCAGAGACATGCATGCAGCGTCGCCAACAAGAAGCCCTTTTTTTTAAAAAAAAAAAGAAAAAAAGGTTCTAGGCAAATTGTCAGCATGCATCGCACGAGGGTGTCTGATCAAGCATCACCAAATCTTCACACATGGCAGTCCAAGGGGCGAGACTGCCGCCACATCGTCGATACCTATTGACTCTGTCTCTGCCCCGTACTCAAGCGACAGTTTCACAGCATCAACATACATGAACATCGGGAACATCAGGTCACTGCCGTGGACGCCATTAGTGCCCATCATATCTCATCCTGGCATCTAGCTGACCGCCATGGTGCCGAGAAAGGCATAGCTGCAAGTTGGCGACAACCCCGACACGGCATTTCAGAGTTGTACATCTTCGGCGTCCTTCAGTGCAGGTGAGGGGACAATTTGACCCAAGTACTCCGTATTGTGTCGCGTGTTGCACGGGCGGAAAGACAAAATGCAAGCCCTTTGGGAAGCTGATCGGACGTTTGGACGAATGAGAAGACAGCCAAAGGAAGACGTCCTCATTGGGTTGTGTATTTAGCTGGAGGATGTTTGCTCCAGACCAAGATATGATACGTTGGCAAGAATCAGGGCTGAGCATGGTACGCGAGCCATGGTCACTGGGAGATACTAATTAGAAACTCTTGTCCGAATTCTCCGACACCTGAGAGTTGGGCAAGACATGCAGCCCGTCACATCTGGTCTCATATTATCTTGAGCTTTCTGTAAATGTTCCTGCTACTTGTGATGAAGAGGGGGGATGGTGTGCCCAGGGGGTTGTCAGCTGTCGATGGACTTATATGGGGGATATGTTGGAATGTTTCGTCCCACGATTGTCCTGTCCTCTCGAGAAACTTGATCCCTGCTCTCTCTCCCTGTATCCGAGCTTCGAGGCTTCCTTTGCTTTCGTTTCTTATTCTAGGCAGAAACAGAAGCAAGCAAAGACTTCCATCTTCACGAATCCCGTACCGGCAAAGTGCTCAGAAGCGCATCCCGCTGGGTTCTGGCCAAAGCCCTCCCCAATCTCGATCACGAAGAGAAGGGTTTCCCTCCCGTGTCACGCCGAGCAACCTTCGAGTCTACCGCCAGCGCAAACAGACCCCTCACCATCATCACGACCGACGAAAACGCCCTCGTGCCTCATCGAGACAAACTGCTCGTCTTCCGCTCCCTCACGGGCATCGACACCGTGCCCACAGTTTCCAACGACGGCCATGCCGAACGTGCCGCACCCAACTTGGGCATCTACCCTCGTGTTATCAAGGCCGAGAGAAAAGCAGCCCGCGGTTTCAAAGTGTACAACACCATCGTCAACGTTTGCCTCGGCACGCAAATCGTTGTTGCGGCGTCGCTAACGGCTCTCGGTGCCGCCGACGGTTCTCGAGTCGCCGTCACTGCCTTTGGGGCCATTAATACCATTATTGCCGGGTTTCTGACGTATCTGAAGGGATCGGGCATGCCGCAGCGTTTGAAGTTTATCCAGGATGAGTTCAAAGCCGTGCGGGAGCACATCGAACAGCGTGAGCGGGAGTTTTGTCTGGCTGATTGTCCGCTGGACCCCATTGCTGAGGCGGCCATCATTGATGAGATGTATCAGGAGGCAAAGCAGGATTTGGAGGGGAAGAATAAGTCATCTGGGGGGAAGCAGGCGGAGAAAAGTGAGCGTAGAAAGGAGCCGGGGACGATAGCATCGTCGCTGGGGCAGAGATTGTCCAAGCTGTCCGAGTCGACTGGTTCGATCAAAGTGCCGGGTTTGGAAAAGATTTGATCTGATGATGTCACTGAGCTTCGTAATTTTAATCGGCTTGCTGGCTGATACCGCTTGATGAATTAAGAAAAATGCGTAATGGAACGTTTTCGAAGCTGTTGAGGAGGAATTTTGAAGTATAATATCTTCCAACTTCCCATTCTGGAAATGACCTCAACGAGGAATATGATATTAAATAGGGGAGAAGAATACAGTTACAATCCAAGAATTTTTATCCAATCACACAAACCTACTATTAGTCTTCCTCCTCCTCTTCTTCTTCTTCTTCTTCGTCGTCGTCACTGCTATCATCCCCATCAATCGCAGGGTCTGGCATAATTATGCTGTTCAAGAACGAGACCTGCACAAGCGTTTAGTCACAACACAGCATCACTGAGTTTCCTTGCACATACAAATCCAGAAAGACCGCGCATGATTTCTTTTATCTTCTGCTGAGCAGTATCCTTGGCGAGCATGTCGGCGTCGATCTTTGCGCCTATCGTATAGTTGCGCAATTTTAACAGCTCAATATCCCTATGAGTAACCTCATAACCCTGAGTCCAGTTAGCGTCTTACAATGTTACGAGAGTCTCCGAGTCATCCCACCATCGGTCGTTTCTTGAGCGCGTTCTCTTGATTTCTCTGCACAAAGGCCTTGATTACTGCTTCTGGACCAGCATTCGCCTTGACATTCGGGAAGAAAACCTTCTTCAATAGAGGCTCATTAAAAGTCTGACGCCATCGATCTGGGTGTCTGTCAATGTTGCGTCGGAGCTTCGTGATGAGTGCAGCTTCGGGATGCCACAGGCCGCCGCCAATGAATGACGACCCGGGCTCGCAGTGGATGTAGTAGCAGGCGTAGGGGCCCTTGCGGCCTGTCCGTGACCAGGCAGCTGAAAAGTGAGGCTGTTGCGCAATAAGTAACCACCTTGATAATTGCCGAGGACTAGGCGTACCTTGTATGGCGTCTTGACTTTGCTGAAGCGAATGTCCCTGTATATTCGAAAGATGACGTCCTTGACAGGCAGTTCGGGAACTGTTTCGTCCACTTCAATTATCGTCTGTGTAGCTGCCTCGACAAAAGACTGCCAATCTTTCAGAGCCCGTCGGTATTCGTCGTCGTGAGCTGCAGAGTGTAAGCATAATAGCAAGCTCGTCCAGGTCCCATCGGCTCACATTTTAGCCAGCTCCTCTTATTATTTGCCTTTAGGTCTTTAAGAAACAGCAATGTGTTCTTATGTATTTTGTGGTCTTCATATTCCACTCCCCCGGTATCTCTCATCTTCTGCAGCGGTATAATTTCAACCCTTCTCGGGGCGTCTTCACTCTCCTCGTCATCCTCCTCCTCATCTTCATGATGCTCATCCGCAGTCTCCTGGACGTACTGATCTTCTTCCACTTGTTTTGAGGTTGATTTTGTTTTCCCAGAGATTCGGCGTTGTTTCTTCACGGGAGCTTTATCCTCATTTGATCCAGTATCCGAGTCTTCAAAGTAAGAGCTCTTCTGTGCAGAGGCGGATAAGCGACCAGACCGTCTTCGATCAGTGCTCTGATCTGGAGCGGATCTTTTGCGAGATGGCATCTCGAATGTAGATTTCCGGCAGGCTTACGTATTTATTTTCCGCGAAATTGATGGACTTAAGGCGTGCTGGACACGTATGATATTCATTCATTCACGGGCAAGGGCGAGTGATTCAAATGTTGCGTCATTGGTCGAGGTGCTGGCTGCACCTGTTGACCCATCCGCGGTTTTAGCGCGTCTCGCTCGTGGGGCCGGCCGAGGTCGACCTGCAGCAAATGTTAAGTAAGCTGGGAATCTCCTCAATTTACCATAAATCATCTGTTCATGTTCGGCGACGCTGAAACAGCCGAATACCCACAAGATGAAAAATGTCGCTGCCATGGCCATGATCCAATCCATGGCTCCATGAGCTCGAAAAATCGGCATGTCATACTCTTGGAATACCTCTTTGCCAAAGCCAAAAACCCACAGATACACCAAGGCCGAAACAAATCGTGGAGTAAGCTAGATGCGGGATACTTTATTACCAGTGCATAACTCGCCCTCCTCAGTCGCACCTAGTCCACATCAGAACTTGCGTTAGCAGGCGGACCAGGAGGTGCCTCCCGAGACCCGATCGCTTTGGACAAGCACATCAACCACGAGCCCTGTCCCAGTCATTTGATTGATATGTTAATAGTACTAGTATGTGCAACCAACTTGGCGGCGGGCAGAAGGGGGTACTAGCCCTACCGATCCCTGGACTCTCCAGCTCTCCATCCGGCCGGAACATATTTAAGGATGCCACCCATTCCGAAAATTGGTTGGGAACTAGCGAATGGCATTTGAGTCTCGTCCGGACTGACCAAAAAAAGAAATCATAAGCAATTGATTCTCCAGGGACCCAGGCATTAGAATCTCGGCTGCTAGATATGGCATGTGGGTTCGAGGCGCCGGTGCAATCAAACATTCCAGGCCGATGTATGCAGACCGCGGGAAGATGCAGGGAAGAAAGAAAACTTCCTTATCAAACGGAGGAGTTGGATTAGGAGTTGTGGCGACCCATGGGTGCAATAGGCGAAAGCAAAATAACCATGATTTGACGTCTCAAGAGTGTCCAATTAAGCTTTGACACACACATCTTTCGGCCTCTTTTTCTTGTTTGCCCTCAAAAGAAGCATTCATTGGATAAATTAGGGATGTTGGTCGTAGTAGCGGGGCCAATGCTCAAACGCGATGTCGTGCAACTTGACGTTGGCCCGCACAAAAGCAGTCTGCAATTTGCAACCGTTCTTGGATACAGTACTCCGTGCCGAAGTACCTTGACTCTCCGCCCTCTTTCCCATTTTTGCCCCTTTGGATACAGAAAATTTGCCATGGAGATTTCGGGTCAGGTGTTTCTCGTAGGATGCAGGCTGTGCGGCCTTCGACCAACTGCCATTGAGAGTGGATCAATCATCCCAACAAAGAGACAATATATCACTCGGTAACGCCATGTGCCTATTGAAGGAGCCGTTGATGAACACACAAGTGGAGTGTTTGCGAGTAATTGCGGTTCCCCAAGTTTCCCTCCCTGGTTGATGGTTGGTTTAACGGTGATATCCGCCTCGAATCCACCTTGACACGTTGCCGCTAAAACGCCACAAAGACTGCCCGGACCAGAGCGGCTAGCCTTTGGATATTTGGTGGGAGGGGACTTTGCACTCCGTAGTTGCTTGACTTGTTGGTCCCTGCAATGCTCAGGGCGATGAGAGAGTGTAGCCTCTTCGCCATTCCAGGAACAAGCATACGTGGTTGGTGGATCTGGACCCTTCGTTTCAGATGAAGGCGGCCAATACTTCGGTCAAACGTCCCCGGCGGCTTGCTCAGAGAGGCAGGCGAGCTGGACATGAGTACGTATTTGCCTGGGGTTAGAATGTGTGCGGGGTTATTGTGTTGTCAATACTGTACGGAGCATCATCATGTGCAGTATTGTGCCGTAACGTGGCCTTTGTTCCCAAGATATTTGTCTTTTCAAGTTTCCTTCCCAAACCGTACGTGCTACGGAGTGCCATGCGGGCACATGACCTAAAGCATTTACCGCAAATCCACGAGTACCTAGGCACCTGGCTCTAAATACAAGTGTACTTAAGTAGGCAGGCGCGTCAATTGGACAATGCCTGTACGTAATACTCATTCGAACCTTGACCGTGTTTGTACGAGCAGCTTTTCCCTACCCAACTATCAACCGACAAGTCACAGTTCGTCAGTCTATGTCTTTGAGAACGCCTGTAGATACGCGGACCCGGAGGGCAAAACATTAATAGGGACACTGAAAAGTCGGAACCTGGGAGCTGGGACGACTCTCTCGTCCCTCATCCTCCATGCAAGACCGAGCAACGGACGACGGCACATACAGAGTGGCGCAGTCTGGCCACGATAATCTGAGCCTCTCATTGTGGGGTGTATCATGCGGACCTTGTCTTTGTCTGGTCATGACATCCTTGCTTGACTCGGCCTTGGCCTTCCACACCTACGTGGTCTGTCCTCTCCTGCGTCCGACGAATACCTGCCCTCACTGCTTCTTCGTGATCCATAAAAGGACACTGTACGCGTGTTTTTACTCCTGTCAATCTTGCGCCAGTAACTCCATTACTGCGTGGGGTGCGTTTACCGTATCCACCCCTATCCACCTCGGGGCGTTCGCGAGAGAGGCGAGGTCCCTAGCCCATCGACCCTTGGATCCTCTGAGAAACAGGAAAGGGGATCTTAATCTTGGCTATGGCGTATCGTATAGTAGCTCCTTTTCTGTGGTCCAAAGGCAGAGAGGGACATGGACACGCGTATCGAATTTGGGTAGGACACAGGGTCCTGGCGCCGCTATCCACCATGGATTCTAGAAAAGATGATGGCACCCGGTGGCCTGTGTTTTGTTTTTTTATCTCAGAGTCCCTGCATTCTCTCCAATGGCCGTCAACGTCAACTAGTTTCACTTGTTGTTGAATCTTTCAATCCCTCATTATTCCATTGTTCACAATCTGGACCATACTTGTGGCAGGATAGAAGGTGCCCTATTCTGCATTCTTTCTGCTCCTTCGCTCCTTCCCTCGAATCGGTCCCCTTTCCAATTTAGCCCTCAACTCTCTCTACACTTCCTCGCACACGACGGCTCTCGAAATTTATTTGGATTCGTTATGCAAACCTCAACCGATTGTCCCACGATTCGCCGCCTTCTTTATTCCCAACGAGCCGCAACGATCTTCATAGACGACGCATCACCTCGTGGTGACTGCAACACAATACCGCCGGCAAAAAATGAGCCGAGATCAGATCTTGTCTCCCGAGGCGGTGGATGCCATGATTGCTGATGGAGACATCATTGTAATCTTCGAGGAATATGTTCTTCGCCTCAATTCGTGGCTAGACAGGCACCCAGGTGGTCGCCTTGCAATTTTGCACATGGTCGGGCGGGATGCCACAGATGAGATAACAGCGTAATACGCCCCTATTTCTTTAGACTTGCTTTCCCGCTCTCTACGAAAAGAGTTTTGTTGCTGTATTATTTCGGAACATTCGTGGAGCGCTATTATTAGTGCTGTGCCGGACCAAAGATGCTAGACTACCCTTGTCGTAGCTGGTGAGGGTCTCCAACGAAGCATCCAGCATGTCAGATCTGTGTCTTAAGCTTAAAAGTGAGATGGGCGGCCCGTGGCTTATGGGGCTCATGCACAACGCACATGGCATTACAACAGGCTCATTCCTCACCACAAAATACATGAGTGTTCGTGGACTGATGCCCTGCATTCTAGGTACCACACCGATCGCACACTACGAACGATGAAGGCATACCGGATCGGCCGGAAGCCAATGGGTCCCTGGACCAACCGCACACCACCAATCAGAGGAGGTCTGTCCCAGACAGGAACCCAATCAGAAAACGTGCCGGACATATCGGACATTCAAGTATTAGATCAAGACAAGGACTTCCTGGATGAGGGCTACGGCAGTGGTGTTAGCAGAGTTGCTTCACGCGACCAGTCCCACCGATCAAGTCCCTCTCCTGATGCAACTGGGAGCCAGGCAACCTTGGAACAACGGACCGTCCCACGCGCCAAGGCCAGCTATATGCGGGATGGCATCGTCAAAGGCAATAAAACCGTCAACGGTAACAAGGTTGCTGAGGCTCAGGTTGCCTTGAACCCCGAGGAATGGACCGAATGGGCCATACAACAGGGCAAGTTGAATGACAGCAGGGATTTTCCTTCTCTGGACTCGGACGTCCAAGGAGCTATTGCTGCCAAGTATAGACTCTTACACCGTCGTATCCAAGATGAGGGCCTCTACAGTTGTCCATACATTGAGTATGGCAAGGAGATGGCCCGCTACACAACCTTGTTTGGCCTCTTCCTTTACGCCCTCCGTCATGGCTGGTACATGACTTCTGCCGTTTTCCTCGGCCTCTTCTGGGTTAGTTGCTCTCCATTTCGGTTACCATTGGTCATGTAGATTGACAAGTCACAGCACCAAATTATGTTTACTGCTCACGATGCTGGTCACCGAGCTATTACGACTATATTTTCTGTTGACACGCTTATTGGATTGTTTATCGCCGATTTCTGCTGTGGCCTATCCATGGGCTGGTGGAAGAGCAGCCATAACGTTCATCATCTAATCACAAACATGCCGGTATGCCCTTGTCCATGGCCGCACCCTACTTGGAACTCTTGCTAACCGTAACATCTAGGAACATGATCCTGATATTCAGAACCTCCCCCTTTTCGCCACATGTCCATCATTTTTCAAATCCCTTCGCTCAAGCTACTATGACTTTACCTTTGTGTGGGACGCCGCCGCGGAATTCCTTATTCCCTACCAGAAGTACACATACTACCCAGTCATGGGTATCGCCCGATTCAACCTCTACCTTCTCTCATGGCTCCACGTCCTCTCTTCCAAATCATCCTCTCTCGGAAGCAGCAAGGCCTGGTGGATTCGTCCTACCGAGATTACCTTCATGATGTGCTACTGGTTCCTCTTTGGCTACCTCCTCCTTTGGCGCACACTTCCTACCTGGACCATCCGCGTGGCATTTGTTCTCATCTCCCACATGGTCACCATGCCTCTACATGTCCAGATAACTCTTTCGCACTGGGGAATGTCCACCTCGGACCTGGGAGAGGATGAATCCTTCCCCCAGCGGCAACTGCGGACCACTCTCGATGTTGACTGTCCCGCCTGGCTGGACTTTATCCACGGTGGTTTGCAGTTCCAGGCCATCCATCACCTATTCCCTCGGGTTCCTCGCCACAACCTTCGAAAGGTTCAAGTCATGGTCAGGGAATTTTGTGCAGACACCAATATCCCCTATTCGATTTTGGGATTCATGGATGGAAACCGCAAGGTCATTGGTCGATTGGAGGAGGTTAGCGAGCAAGTCAAAATGCTAGTCAATTGTCAGAAGTACATGGCGGAAACCGGAGAGAGTGGATTACATTAAAAATCCCGGTCGCTGACTTTTTTGTTCTGGATTTCATTTGTTGTATTCACCACGATTTCAATATGGCGTACTTGTGCGTAAAACACACCAAAGTCCTCACAGACACGGGTCCGGCGTTTATTTGCAAATAAAGAGGGTCGTAGTATTAGGCAAGACATTCAATAAACGATATTTTGGGGAGATTCTACACGCTGAAACATTCGCTTCTTGACGCTCGCAGAATCATGTATAGACGAGATTTCTTCAAGTTCATCAACTCAATACCCAAAATCCTCCCAAACCACGTCCTCACCAGTCAGCCACCCAGTCAGCAACGCCAACAATGCCGGCCCAGCACACAGATAAAACCTTCTATTCTCCCCCGTGTACGCCTTTACATCATCCGCCCCAAGCCTCCTCCTCTCCATAGCCAGCAATCCCAAGCCCTTGAGCTTCTGCACCACCGCCTCATCGGCTTGCGTCCCCGTAACGTACAAGCTCGTCACACCAGCCAGGCCAGGAATCAGCGCAAACGTATCGACGGCGAGGCCCAAATCCTCCCCCCTCAAACTCCACAGCATGCTCAGTTCCACGCCCGCGTCCAAGACGTTTCTAGCCTGTGCCAGAATCGGCGTTATCCCCACGCCCCCGGCTACATAGACCGGCCGCTCGCCCTTCTGAACGGGCAGCCGAAACTTGTGCTCGCCCCCGAACCCCAGAACGGGGATATCGAGCGGCGCCCGGATGTTCCGTCTCCACAGCAAGCCGGTTGCCGGCCCGTGGCGCCGCGCCGTGATTTGGAACTCGCCGTCTCTCCAGCCCGGCGGACTCGACACCGTAAAGGTCCGGACAAAGTCGTCGTTTATGCTCTGTGGGTCCTCGTCGCGCATGTGTGCGTATCCGAAGCCCAGCTCGGGCTCGAAGTCGAGGGACACGTGCTGACCCGCCTCCCACTTTGGCAGCGCCTGGCCCCCGGCCGACGAGAGCTTGAAGGTGAATGTGTTGATGGAGGGGGTGAGCACCCGCCGGTCGACGAGGGAGGCGGGGACGTCGGAGCGGACCGACGGGTCGTCGACGGCGCGAGGGTCGTCCTTTTCCGAAGCCAGGTGTCGCAGGGGCGGGTTGTACGGCGAGTACTCTCCCTGCACGCCGCGGAAGGGCAGCCCGGCCCTGACGAAGCGGGCCGCGGAAACGGTCACCTTGACGGCGAGCTGCGTCCTCGCGAGCAGGGACGCCGCCTCCCGGCCGACGAGAATGTCCGCCCGGCCTGTGAGATACAGCACATTGGCGGTGTCGTAGTCCGGTATGACGACGCCAACCACGGGGTTGACTTTGAGGTTCCCCAGCGTCTGGTACAGCCTGTTTCCGGAATCTTGTCTCGCCGTCAGCAACATGACTCCGAATAAAGGGGGTTCGCAGATGGGGGGGGGCTTTACATTCCGGGTACACCAGCTCGACCTGCGAGCCTTCGTTCCTGGCGACTCTCACAAAGCCAGGGCGCCCGCCGCGGTGGTTCGTGTCCATCGTCTCCCCGTTGGTGCTCGACACAAAGAAATTGTCCGCCTTGTACAACAGGTCCAGCGCCTCCTTGGGCAGCGGCAGCGCGTCGCTCACCAGCTGCGCGCCCCCGGGGTCGTGCCGCACAATCTCCTTCTTGTTGAGGTACTTGGGGCAGTTGCCCAGGCTCTCCGTCACCACCATGGCGGCCTGGACGGCGCCCTTGTTCGCGACGGCGCCGGCGACCATGACACCCCCGAGCTTGACGCGGTCCCTCGTCTCGAGATCAATCGACAGGGCGGACATCATCTTGCCCCGGCCGTCGTTGGGCCGCACGATGCCGTCGTGGCCCCGGTTCGTCCAGAGGGCCTGGAAGACGGGATCGTGACGCATGTCGACGGCGCTGTTGAAGGCCAGCACGCCCTCGGCCACGGGCGCCGCGAAACCCCGTTCGCCGCCCCATATGCTTGTCCACGGGCGGCCGTCGTCGTCCAGAGTCCCGAGGGCCACGAGCGGCGACTGCCGGACACGCAGGGCGTACCGCATCGGCAGGCCCCGCGCGGGCGGGGCGCCGCC